TTTGTTTGAGAAGGTTTGAGTGGAAGAAGAATCATCTCATAAGGATTTCATTCATGTCTTTGGTGCCAGCTAACCAAACCCCCCCAGTCCTGCTGTACCACGCACGGATATATATAATGTGGCTGAACCTTCGCTGGCGCCGAAACATGGATGAGGCCGCGGTAACCAGAGTCCCGGCTCCTTGGCCATTGTCTGATCAAATCCAATGCATGAACCTACTTACCAGCTTCTTCCCCAGGGTTGACATGCATAGAAAGAAGTTCCCCAAGGTGCTTGTGACCTATATAGGTATCACGTGATGTGCTTACGTTTCCAGTATGACCCAAACAAATGGAGCATATCCCGGACTTGGTGACCGTACCACTGACCATGACGACGTTGGAGGGCACAGTGAACTATGGGAGATGATCGCCCTGTGTAATCTATACATTGCAGGCCCGTTGACGGTTATCCCAGCCCCGTCCGTGGCTTTAAAAAGGAAAAAAAGCAAAAATCCCTCCCTATTCTTGCCCGGGAAAAACCACTAGAGGCAGATTTGAAACCGGCCAAACAGCCCGTTGCTAATGAGCAGAATACCATTTGTCCAATCATAGCCCAAGTCATTCTTGCGATTTCAATAAACTCCGTACCCAGAAACCATGGACGAGCGTCATGCGTCCATTCGTCCCTGTAGCCTCCAGCCACACCTCGGGACCCCGAGCGCCCCTGATGGTCACTGGCGTCGCCCTACATATTGGACCAATAATTTTGAAAGAAGACCCAGGGTAAAAAGGGGACGTGGGTCCCGCTGAATCATTGATTCACAACCAACACGGACTTCTGCAGCGAAACTTATGATATGACGATGACTTAATGTCAATCGTTGACGTCGATGGTCTCAACGGAATCGATATAGGAGCCATATGAACTCGCTACCGAGAGGGATGAAAATGCAAAACAGAAAAGAGAAAAGGGAAGAAAAATAAAAGAGGACGCCTCTTTTACTTGAAGCGAGGATGGGACCAATGTTTCTGTTCGGTTTCGCATCTGGTTAAAAAAAGGCCACCATGGCGAGAGAGAGGGTGGTGGGCAAATGACCGTGACACGCCCCAGGCACCAGGGGACCTGACCACCCATCACGTCTCAGACCAAGTGTCAGAGTGGGTTACGGCGTGACGCAGCCGCAACGGCACATGCGATGGACGCTTTAGAAGGCTTCCATCGTCGTTCCAAAACTTTCTAGAAGGTCTCTGGAATACCGGATTCGCTTGGCAGGCAAACGAACAGTTGTAACTCGCAGGCAGGATCCCGTTAGCGCGGTGGCTGTGGACCCCCTCTCTGCAGAAAAAGGAGAAGTTGCCGTAAGATGATGAGTCCCAAAAATCCTGAGAGCGTGGGAACCACTGTCGCAGCCTCCTCCGTCAGGTCCGTACACTAGCAGCACTAAGCTGACTAGTTGCAGCCTGACTAAGGCGAGATGGGACTAGGCGGTAAGTGTGTAGTGCGTTACCCGCACCAAATGTCCCCACAGCGGTGCATTACCGTCCTCCCTTCGTAATCACTCCGACTTCCCAATCCCTGTCGGTTATTCTGTTCGCGCTGGAGGTGATGTGATAACATGCAGACAGATGTGACATGCAGCGTGTTTGGGCAACAGTTTTATTTTTATTTTAATTTATTTTGTTTTTCAAATTTTGTTTTCCCCTTTTCCCCAGGACCGAGGCAGTATTGTCCCTGCAGGCATTGTCATATAGGTGCGTTCAGGACATCCGTACATGTGGTCATGTACATTATACATACCGTCCAAAAATGTGATACGGAACTTCTGTACTCCATATCCGGACCTTGCGTGGGTCAAAGTTCCCTCGCCAAAGCCAAGGATCACATCCGGTTCCCCATTATTCGAACCTTTCTAGAAGGAAATTAACTTTCCCATCGGCCGTTCTAATCTCAGCCCATGTTCGACGTCCCTTCAAAAGGGGGTCTCCTCGGTTGGGGCTAGCCATGATGTTTATTGGTCATATCAGGTATTATGATCTAAGTGAGTGAAGGACCTCCCGCCCTGAAATTTCGCCAAGAGAAAGAAACTAGAGGGTGAGGAAGGAGGGGCACTTGTCGACCGATGTTGGCTGCCCTATTTTCTGTATTGATTATTCGGATTTTCTTTTCCTTTTCTTTTTCTACCGTCGATTCGATTCCCGTGTCCCGACCGATTCGGAAGGATTTTCCAACGGTGGTCTCCTTGAAAGGAATTGTATAGAGCAACACCACGCTGTAGGAGATATGCACTGACGATCCTGACGCTCTCGTAATGTGATAGGTGCGAAGTCTGCAGGTCTTTGCAGGTAATGGTCGCACTATAGTTACGAGGTGCATGACAGCACACACTGGTCACTCCTAAGAGCTGGGCTAACTTTTTGGTTTTTGGAATCGAACGATTATGGACCCCTTGAAAGGCTCTGGGGTAGGGTAAGGAAAGGGAAAAAAAAAAGTAAGCTTCTAAAGGGGGCACGCGCTTTTCATCTCGGTTGGTTCCTGGCGATGGCTTCCAGTCCTGTTATGATTGGTCCCCAGCTTCGTGCATTATGCAGTATGAAAGCTGTGATAATGCCTTGAGGATCTTCGCCCAAACCAGATAAATAGGCGTCGTTCTTCAGCATCACTGAGGGGACGTATCTACCGTACTCCGTACGCATGCTCGGGAGCAGAAATAGAATAAATTATTATTCATTCAGATCGGCACCAAGCCGTATCCACCTCCAAGAGCGATACTCGCACGGCCAGTGAGACGGGGAAAGCCACGTTGTGGAGCCGGAAGCGCGCTGAAGCCTGAAGGTGACCTTCGAGCTTTCGTTCGGCCGGGTTCGACTGGAGCCACTTGGGGGTTTTAGTGGAAACGTGCGAAGCTGTAGTAGTCTCCGTACACTAGGCCACCAAGTCCTGAACTAGTAGTCAGTAATAAGTCTAAGAATAATAAAATAAAAATAAAATCATAATAATAATCATACTACTAATAATAATACCACTTAATTTCGTGCCAACTTACCCGAACCATAATAAAAGAGGCACCAGTCGTACGGTGTGGCTTTGGAAAGGAATCCCTTTTCCTTCTGCAAGAGAAGCCAGTGGAACAAGTGACTTCAAATACTTGTTTCTGTTTGTTTTTTGTTTGGGAACCGTTAAGGTTTTTGAATCCTTTACTACGACATAATATCTACCTTAATACCAATAATACCGAGACTGTCATTTTACTTACTTCATCTCCCGTCACCTTCTCCAAAACCTCCGAACAACTTTTTTTTATTCCCTCAATATCATCATCATCCTTTTTTTTTTAATTTTTTTTTTTTTTTTTATTTTACTTATTCTTTCTTCGCGCATCCTTTTTTTTTCTTTTTTAATTTGTCTCTTTTTTATTTCGTCTCATCCGACTGGATAAGGGGTATAAACTACTTCTCGATCTCTTCTTATTCTCTTCTTCCCCCTCCCCCTCTGTTTAAATAAAGTCCGTGAGGCGTTATCCAACCGGAGCGTTCATCTACTGTTTTCCACCCCCTCCGCCATTGGAAGCCCAATCGAGCCGCCAAACTTCAACCCCAAATTTTTCGATTCGCACTCGAATTCCACGCGCTGTCTCCTCCAACTGTGTCGAGAAGTCTTTCGTCCCAATAGCGCATACTTCCTCAACGACATCTTTCTGTAAGTGTTTTCGTCATACACATGAAGTTCGTCTCTTGCACCGGAGTTTCCCCGCTGGTTGGCTCCGATGGCCCAGTTGAATGATGCCTTACACTTTCCCACCTTTTCGTGCCCGGTGAATATGTATAATCGCTTCCTCGCTGGCTCGGTGCGGAGATTCAAGAGAGTTCGGAAATCTCACCCATGGCTTTTGTCGCTGAGTGAGCATGTTTATCGGACTACTCAGAACCCATCCACATTTCAGCAGAAGAGGAGTTGTAGTTTCGCACTCAATAACAGGAGCCTGACACCAAACGATCGCTCGTTCAAAGCGAAACTTGCTAACATGATTGTACTTGGTCAATAGGACACACCGAGTACCTTCGTTCCCCGTCGCGAATATATTGCTCTTGCGCCCTTTTGAGAACGCACCCTACTTTTGAAGAGTACATAAAACAAGTGACTAGAAACGTTGGAATTACCCCGTTGGCGATTTTTCCCCATACATCCGGATATTCCTCTTGACAATCTCCGAGGTCGCGTGGCGGTGGAACTTGTCCTAGTGATTGGTGTGGTCTTGCGATTTTTGAAAGCTCAATAATCTGGTCGAGATTTCGATTTCCCTGTCGAGTAGCACCCGCTATTACCTCAGAAAATTCATCTTCCTGCGGCCGTCCGACGAGGCTTACATCGTGTATCGGTCCGCCTGGAATTTCTGGAACCAATTTGTGGAGACTGCTGTGAACATCACGCCCCGAAGTCCGGCAGGAATATCGAAAAATTTTTTTGTTTTTTTTTAGAAGATCGGTCCTCTGATAGAAGTGAAACTGTCCTGCGATTGTTTATGTTTCGGGATTGAAACTATATCAGAGCCCGAAGTTACCCCTGCCTTCGTTGCTCACATTCTTGGTTGCGAAACTTTGGAAACCTCGCCCACGGAGGTAAAATTTTCTGCAGACCCAACGAGGTGAGTCTACGATTTTATTGCCTGTTTTTTTCTGGCGCAAGCGTCTTCACTTTCGGAAACGTTTCCGGATCAACCTCGTTGAATTCACTCTCGAAACGATGAACCTAACCTCGACCTTGTCTTGTATAGTTATATCGTCTGGCACTTACGCCGTACGCAACCCACAGCTGCACCACAGCCTACCGTGAATTACACCACGCGTGTCGCACCGTCCGCACCTGTCAGTGGCTGATCTTACGATTCGGTGGGATCGAATTGCCTTGAGACTGGAAGGTACGCCGTGGAGATCATCCTACGGCTACATTTTAGAGGATACCGCAGGGCAGCTTTGCTTTGTCCTTGACTACCGTCCCTCAGCTCCCCGCTGGGTCGGGTCATGGACATCACAACTATCTTGAACAGAAAAGGTTCTGCAGCCATGGTCGCCGCAGAATTCGATCATCAGCAATTTATACAGAACCCTCATCTTGATACATCGTCTCCGAAGATGAAGCCGGAGCCCGGAGTCTCAGAGGCTGGTGACCAGCCAGTACTTGCCTACCCTCCTCACGCGCCGCTCGGCCAAATGCCGAATATGCATCCGGATATGCGATACCAACCGCAGACACACCCGAACTCCGCGCTACCACTTTTGCAAAATCCTTATGTGCCAGGGGGATATACAAGTGCTCCTCCAATGCCGAACGGTGGTGCTCCTCAGGGCAGGACAGATCCTCCACCCAAAACATTCCACTGTGGCACCTGCAGTAAGGGGTTCGCTCGACGCAGCGATCTGGCGAGACATGGTAAGACTATATCAAAAGGCACTACAATGTTCCGTAAACTGACAAAGTGTAGAACGGATACACTCTGGTATTAGACCACACGCTTGTGATTGGCCAGGATGTGGTAAACAGTTCATCCAGCGCTCTGCCTTGACCGTGCATTCCCGTGTCCATACTGGCGAAAAGCCGCACATGTGCGAGAGATGTGGAAAGGTATGTGTCGCTGTTTTCCATTTGGCAAGGGCCATTGATCAAGATCTAACATCACGGATATAGCCTTTCAGCGATTCATCCTCTTTAGCTAGACACCGCCGGATACATTCCGGTAAACGCCCCTATAAATGCCCCTATGCCAATTGTCAGAAGACCTTCACACGTCGTACGACTTTGACACGCCATCAGAACCACCATACCGGTACCATTGAAGAGGCTGCCGCAGAGACTGAAGCCAACCTGCGGCAAAATAAGGAGAGAGCGAGGGCCCCTGGTGAGGGAATATATTCAGAACATGGCTCTGTTCATTCTACCCCATCCCCTGCCCACCACCCTACGATCTCACCAGTTGGTGAGCTCCCTCCATTGAATATGCCTCGCTCGTCTGGCGAATACTACAGCATGGGGAATGGTTCTATTCCTCCTCACGTTCGCGGAGACTTTCAGCAGGCCAGCCCTCGCGCTTCCCCAACGGCAACCTCTCCATCTCTGTCCAGTTTTGGTAGTGCTCCACACACCCGGCCGTCGATGACCTCTCACCCGTCAGGTTACGGCCCTCCTCAACCTCTCGAGCCGCCTGCCAACAACGACCATCGGCCCAACAGTGTTAGTGGGAGTCCCCACATGACAAGTTTAGGTTGGGCTTCGCCGTCCCACGGTAGCATCCCATCACCAGGCTCCGCAACCGATTTCGGCTATTCTGATCCTAATGGTCCAGCATACCCGAACTCAATGCCCCCTCACATGTACTTTCCCAACTCCACCCTCCGACGTCCCACTAGCACTGAACCAGAGAACTACGAGATGAAGCCAAAGATTGGCGAGAGTGCATGGTCAACACCGGTCTAGAGTCTCAATTCAATGATCGGCAGGACCTCTGATTTGGGACATAGAGATCTGGTTTAGAGCCGTATACCTTACGCAGTGTCCTCACTCAAGCGACGAGTTTGACATCTGCATATCTTTTCCTTTGTCTGGCATTCCTTTCCTTTGTTATCTCATCACAGGCCTTGCATAACAGCATGTTGTTTTTCTCCCTTGGATTTTCGTTTCGCTTTCCTTTGTCATACATCGTTGTGGATATCCGAGATGTTATTCTCTTAGCATTCCGTTTGAAGGTGTAAGCGCGCTGGAAGGAGTCCGGGCTTAGCTGATTTGATTCCCGTGTTTTGCTTGCGCTCTCTATTTGTTGCTCCTAATGTGGGATATGACTCGAACGAACACAAATAAATAAATAGAGAGGTGGGAACGGTTCAGGGCTAGGTTGGACGGGGTTTATTTTTTTTATTTTTTTATTTTTGGGAACTGGGATATTCTGGTCTGGTCTGCTTTGGTCGCGGGGTTCTGGTATCTTATACCATGTTATTATTATGCATTATCATTTGTCTCCTTACCCCCTTGTCACATTATACCTCATATCCTTTTAATATTCGCCGTACTCCCTGTGTTTGCTTTTCTTGTTTCCTTTGTCTCCATACTCACTCACCCCATTGTTGTAAATGATCCACCTACTGTATGATATAGAGAAAGAATACCTGCTTAATCTGATACCATAGTTTTCGTGTGTCCTGTGTGCTTGAAAACACCTCTTGTCCTCCATTCATTTATTTGATGTTTCTTGAATTGAGACAGTAGGTAGTATACACATGACAAGAGTTTATACAGACAATCAAATTACAATGGATGCCTTGGGTCAAACTAAAAGCAGATCGATCCACTCTATCGAAACTGTTGGTGGCCTAGATCGAGTTGGATGTAGATCGGTAAGGAAGTGCAAGTCTAACCTTTCACAGTCAATGAAATAAAGGTGTAGTTCTTTCTACAAAGAATGGTAAGAATTGACCTGAACAAGTCATTTTGTGTGTGCAGTTAAGAATAGCCATTGATTAAATATCATGCACTTTCTACTTAAAATCCTTCTTCCATCTCACGAGACTTCATGCAGGGTTATCCGCCAAGGGTTCATTTTCCCCCATACAAATGCGAAAGCCTATCGCGCAGCCCTGCTCAATACCCATTATGACGAGTGTTGCTCATACCATATACGTCGTACCAAGAGTGAACTATAGAACCCGGCCGAGTCATGGGCTAAATAAAAGGTTTCATCTAATCAATGAACAGCTTCGTCCAGCGGAGTAAAATGGCAATCGAGAGCCGACTAACAGATTAGACAAGCTCGAGTACAAATTCCCCTCCCAAGCCAGAGGTTTTTCTTTTTGTCGACAGCAAATTGCGTTTTGACTAACTGGGGGGCGACTCAAGTTCGACACTAACTGTAACGAAGACAGAGCGATCCATAGATATACACCACAGCTCAACTAGCCCGCTCATGAATCGAGCACGGCTCATAGTATATGCCTGCAGCACTTTACCCTCAGCTATACTTACGTCACCACTGTAGACGGAACGTGGCCAAGATGTAATAGAGTCCCTGAGTAAGTTGCCGCCTCAAGTGCAGGCAAGTGAGATATCACGGCTCATCGAGCAAACTCGACGTAAGTTGGCATTGCTTTTCTGCTCAATAATATTGAGTTTGATCAACCAATGCGGCCCACCACCTGCTCATCAATGAGAGTTGAACCTTTATACCGTTTTGCGCAATGATGCAGGTTCCCCCGCTCTCTGGTCTCTACCTCTTTCTAACCTGCACGGGTTGTTATCGTAGTTAGTTTCTTCTTCCGGTTCTAGCCCACTGTCCATCAGGTCGAGGCAGCAATAGCATGGCTGCTGAAGACTCGTCTTTGAACGATGCCATTGCGTATTTAATATGTGATTGATATCAAAGTACTTCCCGGTGACTAGATGCTTGCTGCAGACAGCTTTGAAAAAGAACCCTTCCTTTTGTTTGACTTTGCATCTGCAAGAGTGATAGATACCCTTAGTACGGAGTACTTCCAAGACAATGATTTCTGTTCACCTTCCAGACCGCTGGGCAAGAAACGGACCTAAGCCCTGTTGGGATTAGCGACCGAATTTAACCACGAAGAAATGACGTCGTCGGACGTCGTCTGCGTCACGAAATTACGGTAATTACAGTGGTATTGTGACGGATTTCCGAACAATCGGCAAGCCACGTGCGGGCCTTGGTTCAGTGGAGACTAGTACCAGAGGAGCTTAGCGGGCTCATCATTACGGTTGATCCGGGGTAAAGAGGCGTCCTCGTCAGGCTCGCCTTTATTGGAAATCCGTCGAATGGGGGTGGGGGCTTCAAGCTTTCCTAAGGAATCATGGAGAGATTATCCTCCTCTAATAAATCGTGGGGTATCACTAAAGTCTCCTCTGGGGAGTGGGATTTCAAATCAGTCAGGCAAACACCTGAACATGCGAACTACCAGTGTACCAATGATGGCTCAAGGGCAACCTTGTGAGAGAAAAAGGACTGGCGCATGAACTTAGACGCCAAATCATACGTTGAATTCCATGGAGGCTGCGTGAGAGCCCTCCTTGCAGACGATGTAGTATTGCCTTACTTCATGACAGATCTCTATGTATTGTATTACATGCATGTGTTTTTTGCTACACTGGGAAGACAATCACAAACGCAAAATGCAGTCACCAGACATGAGGGTGTGGTATGAAAACAGACCATGATAAACGCCTCGAAGCAAACTCGGAATATTGCCTCGTCATGCTAGAACATTTCTGATGCGATAAAGGAAAAGAGATGGAATAACATAAACATCCAAGAATGTAAAAACGGGCGATCCGTTCCGTGAACAACCCGGATCTAACAATGTCACATAGGAAATTAATAACACATTCTCTGTATCGATTTTTCTTTCTTTCTTTCTTTCTTTTTTTTTTTTTTTT